GGTCTTATTTAAGTAGACCTAAAAGACAAATTTCTACCGCCTAGAATGCTAATGAAATGTGGTGTGTACCAAGGGTAAGTGTCTAGGGTTTTTTCCCCTCACGTAATGTATAGAATAAAAGGTTGCTGAGTCAGAATTGACTCAGTGGCAATGAGTTGGGTTTTTTTTTTTGTTTCTCACACACAACTCCTTTATTGGTAGTTAGAATCCCTGGTGAATGCTGGATCCTCTATTTTATTTTATTTTTTATTTTTGGATCCTCTATTTTAGGTCACTTAGTGGTCCCAGGTGTCTTTGCTGTGCATGCCTCTTAAATCAGTTGACTCCAGGTTTTGAGGAGGAGGAAGTTTGTGATCCAAAAGACACCTCCGGGGCCATGATGACTTCAGCAGCCAGGTCCGCGTAGAGAGCGGCAGTGATTTTATTGTTTTGTTGTTTTAGGAGCATGGTCTCACATCAAAACCGGTTGGCTACAAATACTGGCTTTCAGGATAGGACAACTTCTTTATGCCTCATTTTTTATTTTTAGTTTCAAAAATTGTTAAGTATAAATAGGTCTATAAAAGAGGTCATATATAGGGGACGGACAACAGAAAAGTAGGTGAAGGGAGACATCGGACAGGGAAAGATATGACAAAATAAAATTTAAAAATACTTTGAATCTTTTCTAGATAAGTGGCTTATCTTGAAATTAATCCTTTCATAAAATTGAAAAGCTATGTGTAATTATAAAAATGTACGTTAATGGGCATAAGCCAAATAAGATTTAATGTTTCTAAAAGTAGACTCTGCAAATTGAAATAAAAATTGTAAATTGATAGCTAAACAGTAAAACGCCTAAATTATAATAAGTAAAAATATAAAGGTAGAATGTTATATAAGACTTTGAAGAAACATTTTCTGAGTGACAATACACTTAGAAGATTAGCAGTTAACAAAATTTTTGTACATACATGTTATTTGACCTTTTTTTTATTATTTTAAATCATTTTATTAGGGGCTCATACAACTCTTACCACAATCCATACATACATCAATTGTGTAAAGCACATTTGTACATTCATTGCCCTCATCATTCTCAAAACATTTGCCCTCTACTTA